CACACACACACACACACACACACACACACACACACACACACACACACACACACACACCCTCTCAGGAGATTGCGGTCAGTGAAAGCCCCATATGTGAGAGGCGGTGGAGAATGACAGTGGGTTGATGAGATAATGAGGCAGCCTTTAAAGAACACTTGGCTTTTATGAGTGTGCAAACAGTATTTAAAATAAAGTTAATTGTAGATAAGCACAGTCAGCTGTGAGTAATGTGGGACATGATTACCTAGTAAACAATTAAGAGAGAGCACATGGATCTCCGGCAGGACGAGGGGAGGACATTAACTCCTGAGACGGAGGCTCAGACGGTGTGAGCTCAGATTCCAATGGCGACCTGAAGTGTCCACGCCGTTTGCCTGGACAGTAACAACAGCTTCTCTGGTTGCCTGCGCCCGTGCAGCTCTCCTGACCTTTGGGCTGCGTGTCATTACAGTGTTTATCAGTTCTCGCATAACGTGCAGCCTTTAACGGCCACAAGCGCCCGTCCTCTTGCTAGTAAAGCCGGCCGGCCGCCAGGAGGGTCTACTGTCCCTCGCTGGAATGCCCTCCCACCCCTCAGCCCCAGCACACAGACACGCACAACACAAGGCCTCAGGTCAGAGGAAACGTCATAAATTGAGGCGCAGGGCCGAGGCGTCAGCTACTCTCCTCTTTGATGGCCCCCCCGCCTTTGCTTTAAGTACAACGCAGCATCCAAGCGTCGCCCTCACACAATTAGTGCTAATTTGACCTGATGTCCAGAGGTGTTAAAGCATGTGTCCAAAGGTGACAGAGACCAGGTGTAACGTGAGGACGAGGTGGTCGAGCCTCGTTTTAGTCGCCAGGTTTATGTTTTGCAATGATTCTTCCACTCACTCTCTGAAGAGAGATACGTCACACAAATATTTCCTCCTGACATTAACTGTGCATTCGCATAGTCCTCGTCTCATTTTCCAGAGCTGTGAAGTCGTTCTTCTGACTCCTGAATGTTTATGTGCTCTGACGATGGAATGTGGAAAAAACAAAATGTCTTGCATTTATGTGTTTAAAGCGTTTAAACTTCTCCTAACAATATTCGCACAATAACAGAGAGTGGAAAAAAAGATCAGATACGAGAGGCATACAGACCATTTTAAATTTATGAACCCTAATCATGAAACCATTTGCAAAAGTCTGGTTCCATGTGCTTGTGAGAGATTTGACAAGTTCACATTAGAAGCTGCTATTTAAAGCTGATTTAAAAGAAATTGTAAATTGGTCTATAAGTGATGACGTCAGCAATTTGTGTAGCAACGTTTTTGTTTCCAACTTTCCGAGTTGTTGTTCCAACTTGAGATGACGTTCCAGTGAATTTTCTCAGTTGGAGACACATATTCTTATACAATCAATTGTTGCACTTTTTTAGCAATTTCCATTTAAAGTATTTACATTCTGTAGTTTCCTCTCTTCACAGTATTCTTCTTTGTAAAGTGACACAGTCCACTCATGCATGCATGTAATCCAGACTCATTGTTTTCTTCTCACTCTCCTAATGATGTATAACAGTTGTATTAACATACTTGGTGACTTCTTTATTAAACAATGGGCATTTATCTGCAATGTTAAAAGATACGCCAGTTGCTAGCTATCTGCTCAGTGAGTGTTCAGCTAAACTTGATTTTATAACTGTGGAGACGGTGTCACCAAATCAACCAGATTATAATTTGGAACATGACTGATCCCAGTTCAGGTGTTCATGACCCTCACTGGACATAGGAAGAGCAATCTCACAGAATCCCACTCACCTCTCTTTGGAGATGTTCTTGCTTTGTCGTATCCAGGCGTTCTTGAAGTCGTTGCAAAACTCGTACCAGAGCATAAAGACGTAACCCGGGCTCACATCTTTCTCCCCGGGTTTTGGCCTAATACCTAAGTAGCTCACCATTTCCCCGAAACTGTGAAGAAAAACAGAGCAGATGCGCAAATAATGTCATCTTTATCACATATAAACACTTAAGTAATTAATATCAGACATAAAATTAATGTGTTTTCATGTTTTTAATCAAATTCTCTCGATTGGAAAGCCAAAGCTGTAAACAAGAAACGCACATGCACACAAACACAGAAAATTATGGATGGAGAGTCAGACAGAGGCCAGAAACAGAGCTGGAAGGAGAACGTCCACCCTGCTGGGACATGGGGGAGAGCCAGTAGTGGAGGCTCCATTATCACATTGACCTCCGCAGCCTGCAGGGGAAGACTGCAAGAGGAGACGGAGACAGCAGAGACCAGGCTGCTGTTCCCTCAGACACAGCAACTGACTGACTGACTGACACACACAAACACAATAAACTCACACCTACAGCTCCAGCAACATATTGAGGGTCAGACAATTAAAGATATGAATATGATCTTATAAATGCCCCCTGTTTTTTGTGTTGACTGGCCCAGACTGCAGCGCTGTTGTAGGCCTGATTCAATTGTAACCAAACCTGAACTCTTTGCGAGTCTCTCAGCAGCGCACACCGGGCATGAAAAGCAGCCTGCTGCTTCAGATTCCCTCCCTAACCCAAACATGAAAGACATTTTCTGGCTGTGCCTGTCAGAGGCTTGATTAAAGGGGGCTATGATTCAAGGGATGATCCCTGTCCCATTGACACCCTGAAAGGACCTCCAGATGCTAGGTGGCTATTTTGCGACGCTAATCGAAGACATGTTCAAGTCGTGAGAAATGGAGCAATATGCTGCCCAGACGGTACGCTAAAAGCTGAGGGGGAAAGAATGGCTTCTGCACTTCACATTTCTCAGTGATGCGTCATTTTGCTGGGATGCTCCAAAGAAAGAGGAGCCGCTGATCATCCTGTACGCAACTGAAGAAGTCAGAGGCTCCTGGATGTTTAGACGAGCTGTCCCAGGTAGCTTTGTTGCAGCCGGCCTGGTCCAACTTGATAAACAGGGTCTCTTCTCCATCGGCTCCTCTCCTGACCCTAGGTCATCATGTCAGAGCGTACACAAATCAAGCAGCAAGCCTTTTCAGCCTCCTCAGCACATGCAACAAGCAGATACACAAAGCTTCACTCGAAACAGATGCAAACATGCGCAGGCATGCCTACAAAACATAAAACATAAACAAAATCAAGCAGATCTAAGTTCCACTGCAAGAGCAGAGCAATTAAGCTCATGCACACATGTGCATACACAAAGTTTCTACACTTCTGTAATCTGCTATGATGCCATTGCCGTGAGAGGGTTTACTGCGGCACCCATAGCCAGCATTCCTCACTGACAGCTATAAAGAAAGACGCATTAGAAAACCATGAGCAGCCATGAGAATCAGAGAAATATTTGCACAGGCAACGCTGCATTCCTTTGTTTCCCCAGTAAAAAGATTACAGGAGTAAACTGCATGTTGTTGGCCCAGTCAGCAGAGGCACGAGTCGTCATATAATGCCAGAGAAGAATAATAAACCAACTAGCATGTATGAAACCATGACTGCATGGTGACTGTACAGGAGGCAGTTTGCCAAATGAAATTGAGCATGATGTGGTGGTGGAGAGCTTAATGAGCCGGAACTGAGGACAGAACCAGAAAACCTCAGTGGAACCCAAACATGAAGCAGACAAATTAAGACTGCATGTTGAGGAAAAGGCCTCGGCACTCGTCATGGATGAGCCATACTGCCCACATAATGTTTCTACAAATAGGGATTAACCAGAAATGAACTTGACAGAGACGTCTCTCTCATTAGAATGACACTGGTGTTTTACAGCTGAGCTCAGTGGAAATGTCCCCTCATACGGAGTGGCTTGGGCAATAGTTTAATATTATTGTTGACTTAGTTGCAAAGTGATCAGCGATCTCGATGTTATTTTACAAGACATCCTAATTAACAATCTGGAGCAAAGTGTGATTTAACATTAACAAAATTGTCTCTTTCAATTTTACACGACTTTCATCAAGTCACTGCTCCAACATTACATTAACAAATCATTATTATATGAATTATTCTACACATTTGTTGAAATGTTTCAATACCTGAATGAGGGTAAATGGTTCCAGTAACACTAGCAGCTCTGTGAGGCTGAGCACAGCAGTGTTTTGAGAATAACGGTAACGCTTCTATAGTTACATGCTCACAATGACAATCCTAACATACTAATGATTAGCAGGTGTAATGTTTAACACGTTCACCATCTAAGTTTAGCTTCTGCATTTTTTGCATGAAATCAAAGTATTGAACAACTTAATAATATTAATCTATTGACTGTTCAAGTAGTTGTAAATTTGTAAAAGTTGTTTTACTGTCATTTCTTACTGTTCTTTTTATTATTTTTATGATTGGTTTTCATTTCCTGGAATGCTGCTGGAATTTTAATTTCCCTGATGGAGCCTTCCCAAAGGGATTAATAAAGTTTGATCTCATCTAATCTAATCTAATCTAAATTAGTCCCAACTTCAGGGACAGCAACTGATGGAGCCACTTCAGTAGCTAAAACAAAGGCTAATTAAAATGAATCTTAAAATGGTTAAATACTACCAAAAATAAAAGCAGACATACAAATACTCTACAAAAAATATCTCAAAATGGCAAAACTGTAATTGATTAAAAACACAAGTCTCAACAAATGGAGTCACATTATTTTTAATAATGTGGCCCAAAATAACTATCTGACCCGAGATTCAACTCCATCTTGAAAATCAATAATTTAAGTCATTTTTCCAAGTTAAATTCTTATGTGGCTGCACAGTTAATACCTTTGATGTTAAGATTATTGTGTCTGGAAAAAGTCTGGAACATATTTCCCTATTTTCTCAGATTTTACAGGACAATCAATAAACTTAGAAAATAATGAGAAGATTAATCATCCCAATATTTGTAGCTCTGTTGTAAATACTCTGTACTATGGACACATTTTTGTCAGAAAAACCTTACAGTACAGAGGTTTAATACCCAAGCATAACTTATGCTGATTCATACTCTGCCCCTCTCACTGCTGCTTAACTTTGATTCACAGGCGACTCAACTCAACGACTCCTCCTGAGGCCGAGGTTGAGGTATTAGGTAGCACCGAGGATGTGTCGGTGTCTATTTCTTTTATTAACAGACAGCCGTAATGTTGTAGCCGCTGCTGCTGTTGTGTGTTTGTGTGATGATCCCTCATCCCACGCAGATGTGAGAGCCCACCCAGGGCCCAGTGAGCCCACTGACGCCCATATTCATCAATGGCGTGTCACTTTTATGAGGTGGCTCTGTGGGAACCAGAGAAAGAGACCCCCCCACCCCAACACTACCACCATCCCTTCCTCCTGCTCCACCTAGTGCCAGCCAGCCAGTCCCGTTCTTAGATGAAATTGAAGGAAAACTTCTTTAAAAAGGCAAAGGTGCTGTCAGTTGCGGGGCCCTTTTGATCAATATTCCTCCTCCAAGTTCAACGTCTTCATTACAGTGGTGTCACTCAGGCACACAGAGGTGTGCACTCATGCACGCACATGCAGACACACACATAAAATGTCAGTCCAGTCCAGTGGACAGAGATATCAATGTAATGTGAGGGAGGGGGTGGGGGACGAGGACAGACAGCGAGAGGTGCAGTCGCCCCTCAGTGACCCTCATGGTTTAAAAAAAGAGCAACATGAACCAGAACAGTTTGGAGCCTTTCACTGAGTTATAGTGTTGTCCAAAGCAATCAACATCCTAATTGTTTATAGTATCCATTTTCTTGCGACCGGCGTCTTTCACTTTCTCCTTTATATGCTTCCGTGATTTATTTTGGAAGTGGCAGACTTACGACGTAAAGCAAACAATCCCGCTCTCTATCCAAACAAGGCAAAAATAATCTATTTCCCTTGTTTGTCTGCTCCACCATCTTTTTCCAATATGAAATGTTCCAGATATGATTTTGCTTTGGACAGCGAACTCAGCGGCTGCCAGTGTCTCTTACGCCTATAAATCAGATGCCTCTCAGAAAACTCTCGGGAGTCTTCTGCACAAAACATGGCAGATAAGAATGATTGGAACTGCAGGGGAGGAAGCACAGGCTGTTCGGGCTTAAAATACAGTATGCTGCACATTAAGCATGAGCAGACATCCACTGCTGTTTCTGTTCAGGATGGGCGTCTCGTTTATTTGTCTTCAGACAAATTACAAAAAGTATTGAGGGTCACTTGTATGCATTTAAAACCTAAAGTACCTCCTTGTGCATTAATAAAAATGTGCTGTAGTTCAATATAAATCACTTTATCTTATCCAAAGCAGTAAAACCATGAAACAGAGAAGCCCCTGACTTAAACAGCTTCTACTTATCGCTGTATACAAATGGTAAGCATTAATGCTATCAGATACCAGCCCATGTAATCCATTTGAAACAGATCAAGTAGCTGCTATGTGATGTTTGTTATCTAACACTTGCCCAAAATCTCCATCCGAAGGATGATCCACAGAGATTATAAATATTTTTCACCCTAACATGATATTTCATTAATTTATTTGAATCAGTCTCTACTTGTCTTTGGTAAAGTTAGTTTCCTACCTTTTCTGTGCAGCATTGAGCTGGTCCTCTTCGGCTGAATGATCCTTTTGAGCTGTAGGAATAAAACATTTTAAGATTAACAAAGATTATTGGTAATTGGTGACATAGATATTTTTCTGCTGTGTCCTGTGACAGTTATTGATAACTGAGCCTAGGTCTCCAGTGGAGTCCAAAGGGGGCGCTGTGTTCATTAGCCATTGTTAGAGTTGTCAAGTGAAGAAGAAGAAGAGTGAGAAGAAGAAGAACAAGGGCTCTGGGTTGAGATGTCACTGACACAGTGAGCGTGTTATCCGAGTGACAGTTAAGCACATTGTAAACTTTTACATGCTTCTGTGCATTGACGCATGAGAGCGTGAGGCTTGAGTCTGTGACGCCTGGGCTCGGGGCGGGGAGCCCTGTTCTGTTTGCGGCAGTGTGTGCGTGTTTGTGTGGACATACATGTGCATGTTCTGAGCAGAGCTGAAGCAGGGGCGCAGGGTTGAGCAGAGAGGCTTGGGAACTGGAGGCTCCTGTGGACTCCTGCCATGTAAAAGTGTCTAAATGCAAGGCAGATGTGTGCGGCGGGCCAGGCCGAGGTGCAAGAATTTATCTAGGGCCAGAGAGAGCCTGTGATCTCAGATTTATTGCATTTTTCCAGATTCATCCTTTTTACAATGATGGGGGACCTTTCCTACTTGAAGATTTAAGAGCGGGAAGTCTCCAAAAAATTGTTCAAAGGCAGGTTTGGGGGTCTTCTGGGAGAAGGTGAGCTTCAGCCTCCGACCAACCACTCTTTTTACTTTTACTTCTTTTTTTTCACATGTATGTGGGCAAGGGGGCGTATTTTTACATGTATGAAGTAAACCTAATGAAGTGGGGGGGGCATGTCTGGGATTGAGGGAGGTGGGGGGACGAGGAGAGGGGCCGTGACCAATGGTGTTAGACTCAGTGGGGGTCAGGCTGGCGCCTGAGGTACCCCTCTAGTGCGACTGTACAGAGGTGGCACTGGAGCCGAGAGAGAGAGGGAGAGAGAGAGAGAGTGGCCCAGAGTGAGAGGATGTGTGAAGTTTCTTTTCCTCCGTCCTCTGTGTAAACATGAAACCAGTAGTCGCTAACTAGAAAGTTATGAGACGTGCATGCTGAGAGAGACAATAAATTAGGGCTTTAAAACTCTGACACACTTTTACAAACCACTGCTTTACCTAGCAGCCAGATAACAAAGAGATGCTGAGGATTTCCATGGAGCATCCTCTATGTAGGACACATCTCTACGACTTCATCGAAAACAGGCTCCAGGGAAAGCTGCTGTCTGCCAACTTAACACACACCACCTAATTCAGTCATATGAAGAAGTGGAATTGTGGTTGTTGGGTTGTGACTCACAGATGACAAAAAGGATGTGATGATACACATACGTTTCCTCAGAAAGCCAGTGAAATGAGACTTGCACAAGCTGAGATTAAAACCAGGAATTTGTTTTCAATTAGTCATGGCCTGTATTCAACGCGAAAAATATGCCCGTCAGAGTATCCCCAGAGGTTTCAAAGAGCTCCTTCTAACAAGGGAAACAAAAATGTGGTTGATTAGACGTTGGAACTACCGCAGACAAATCAGGGAAAGTTTTTTTTTTTCTTATTTTATACGAGACCTTATAGTTCTGAATGAGAGAAGCAAATTAGTTGTGGAAATACAAAGCCACATTCCAGAGAGCCAGCGAGTTAACTGAGTGGAATACGAATATTTGAAAAGACACTTAGACAGAAACAAATGCAAGACAAAGGGCAAATTCCAGAGTGTACGTAGTACTCAGTGTGGAAGAGGAGCAAAGACATTGATGGGACGAGGCCTTACAAGAGGAGGGTTCACTGGATTTCATAAGAGTCCCCTGCTAGATCACACAGTCAAGTTTAACAGGCAGAGCGCAGGGCGTTCGGGTTCACCTGCAGGCCTCTCCTCAGCCTGGGTCAGTAATGCTCAGAAACATCACTCTCACCTTAAAGTTTTGTCTTTATCGCTTTCTTCCACCACAGTTAATTTCAAAATCTAAAATCATGTGTCAAACACATGTATCTGTGGCCGAGCGTTTACCTGGGTGAGAAATTCACTCATTCACCAATGAGTCAGACTTTTAAGAGCAACGGCCGCACTTTGATGTGAGAACTGTTGCTGTGTTTTTGCCTTTTGAAGTCACGGAATCATCACGAACAATGATTACACACACGCCTCTCCTCCCAACGCACGGGCAACAGCTCGAGGAATCCTGTTTATCAAAGAGAGGTTTACAAGTATTCCACCGGGGAGTTTATGTTCAAGATGTTGCCGTTGCGAAGCGATGCCATTTTGTGCTTTTTAAAAGTTTTTAGATATTCTGCACGAAAGCTCGGCGAAAAGCTTGGAGAAATTGGCAACTTGAACAATGCCATGGCACATTTCCTTTTCATGGGTAAATGACTGCAGCACAGGAATCATATTGCAAACATGAATCACAAAATGTGGCTACAATCTCCTCCTACAATCATCGGACTGTTTTATATATATAATACTGTATCGTTTCACCACTGCGCCCCTTTAATGGAGGCTACTTTAAGACACTTTTTCACCCCAGAAAAAAACTGAACGATTTGCCTCACCCAAGTTACTCGCTTGACCTTCACTGATATGTAATCATTCTAATATATTTTGCTTGAGGTTTATCTTCTCTGAGTTTTTTTTGTCTTGCTCACAACACTGACTAATCAATACTTTTACCTTATTTTCATTACTTTTATAAAATTTCACAAAAAAGTTTTTTGTTTGATCAATCGCTACTGAATTTAAAGAGGGATTGAGCAGATGGAGAATGAATTGCCTTTGATTGATATGAACAAAATAAAATTAGTCTCACTGGCACTTTTTGGTGGTATTTCTTTTTTAATTCTACTTGCTTTAAGCACAATAAATAAAAGTTTATTCATTTCCATATTAAGCTGGAGGCGGCAAACTATTACTATTTGGATGTATATATATCGCTAGAGGATAATTTTTTGGAAAGATTTTAAATGTACAAAACACCAATGTGTTTTAGTCCCCACTTTGCAGATATGATTTTTCAGTTGGCACCAACAAATGCATTTTAAACCAAACACAGAGTCACATCAACAGCAGGCGATGGACGAGTAACTGAGAGAAACTCAGGTCATCTTCCAGCCTGTTACACTGAAGAAACACCCGTCCAGATGTTTTCATCAGGAGCAGCAACACATTGGTTTACATTCAACATGTGCACTGGTGATTCTGCGATTTTAAACAGACAGTGATCTTGTGTGGATAGTATACGTGTGCTTGGCATCTGGAGGATACAGAATAAGAAAAAAAAAACATGGCGTGTGCCTGCGGCTGTGGATCATGCTCGTTTGCCTCCACCTCTTTTTTAGTGACATTTTTACTGTTTATTTATTCACAAACTAGATCTAATGATGTGACAGTGGCAAACTTGGACGTCTTAATGGCATCTACTGGAACGAAAAGGAAGGTTTGTGTATAATAAAAACTTAGGTGAAATAAGCATATGTGTGTCTGATGCACAGCATGGCTCATCACTTTAATAGAAAGTGAGCTATAACTCATGGAAATGTGTACACAGTCACCTCGGGGATGAATCGACCATTGTTTTTCTTGGAATTCTCATCACATCAACGTGCAGTTTCTTTCCAGTAAGAAGGAATACTTTAGCATATTTTAAAATGGTGTTATGAGTGAAGTGGCAGCTAGATAGGGTATAGATAGTATAGACAGTATAGATTTGGATGAAAGAAAGTCGGACATGACTTGTGTCTGGGTCAGAAAGGGGACAAACGGTGAGTGTGTGTCGGGGGAAGCTGTGCTCCCGTCCCGGTGGTCCCCAGGCCTGATCCACTGAGGCCGGCCAGTCTTTACAAGGCCGCAGCCAGAGATGTCCTGCCAGCTTTATGGCAGCTGAGAGTACATGAGAGCCCTGTTAGAGGCAATGTGATCCCTTCTACAGGCCTGTAGACTCCTGTCCTCATGCTGTCTTACAGAGCACAGAGACGCCCTCTCTCAGCAAGAACACAAACACAAACATGCACACGCACACACACACATGCACACACACAGATAGACAGACCCTGTGCCACCCAGCTGACTGAAAAAAACATAATTATACCTTCCTCTTTTTAAAGCTCCCATGCTGAGTGTGTGGGGGAAAAAAGAGCTTTTCTAGATCTGTAAGTTCAGTTTCATGACGTTCCCCTCAGCTGTCCGACTCAATGTTTCATCTTTGAAGTCAGTGAGAATTCTCTTAACAACTTTACATGAATCAGACCAGCTTAAAAGAGAGACTGACGGCAAACATCTATCATATGACTTGAGCCTGTGTCACTGTCTTTGATTCAAAGGGAGTGGGAGAAGATTAATCAATTTATCCCTTATCTTGATTGACACAAGTTGAATTTTCTCAGTTGGGGGGAGAAGTAGAAATATCAGTGGAAGCGGAGCGACTTTACAGATGTAAAACTTCTTGCAGGCGACTTAACACATTGTGTCATAATCTCTGTGTTGTCATAACCTCCTTTCACTCCTGTTCCTTGGTTTGTTTGGCTGTTTGTTAGATTGTCAGCAGGATTATACAAAAACTGCAGAACGAATTTCCATGAAACTTGAAGGATAGGACATGAGCCAAGAAAGAACTCATTCAATTTTGGTGTGGATCTGGATAAAGGGTGGAATCCAGGAGATTTTATTTTAATAATTATAATAATTCATGCAAAAGGGACCAATATTTATGAGTTAGAGCAGTTTGCTGCAGCTTGATTTAATTTAATATTATATTGTTATAAAATATTATTTCATTAACTACTTCAGTTTTTTTTATTTTTTCATCTATACGGCAAACACGCTGCTGATTGTATAATAATGGACTAAATCTGCAAAGTGCAGAATGATATATCCGGTACACCATATGTGCACTAATGTTTCACTAATGACCATCGTTTACAGTTTTTCTACAGAAAAAAGGAGGAACCTTGGCTTCACTCACCTGCAGAGATAAATCCCTCCATCTTCTGCTTAAAGGGCTGCAGGTTTTCCTCTGATGAGTTATCACACACCTTCTGCACATCTTTCTCACAGGCTGCAGGAGAGAACAGAACAGAGAGCAGACAGATATGATTAGCAAGCGCGGAAAAAAAGAGAAGGGAGGATTTAAAGTTGTGGGAGCAAATTAACCAAAAATTGTAAAATGGTCTTTCAAGGATAGATAAAATAACTAAGGAAATTGATTAATAATGTAATGTCAAGTTTCACCATAATGTGGTGAAGAATAGGACGTGATTGTGTGAAACAGGCCTGGATTGTCCTTTATGCAAGAAATTATAATTTTAGCAAAATAATACAAATGTATCTATGTTATTCTCAAAACAGATTTTATTTGGTGAAGAAATAGAAGAAAACTTGTCAACCTGAAGTGGAAACAGAGTGTGCTTTTAATTGGATTTTCAAACAAGAGGTTGTTTTATTTATTTATTATCTCACTTACTTAGTTAGACCTCAGTCAGTCCAGAGTTTACCCACAGTGGACAATAAAGTTGTGTGGTATTGTATCCTGTGTTGTGTGTACATGTGAGCACAGCAGATGTGTTTGCTGTTTGTGGATGGGTTTTTCTTCGCTGTGCCAAATGAATCAACTCACACAAGCTCAGAGGAAACAGACGTGACTGAGCACGTTCCAGCTGAACCTTCCCCATTTCCTCTCAACTGCAATACCGGGTTACTACACACAGACGCCTGGTGAAAGAACTTTGGCACATTCTTCCAACCTGTAAGTCATTAATGGCGGCAATAAATACCTTAACTTGCTTATGACTGCATAGCTAAATTGTTCCGCAACACAACAAGCGCATTAACAGGTCTGGCCGCTGTCTCACTTCACCGCGTCCCTGCTTTTAGATCTGAGCTTGGCTCTCACATGTTCGCATGTGGAGCCGCTGCACCTGCAGCTCGGTAAACTCGCTCTATGACATCTTTTACATCTTTTATTTATTGGATGTCTTAATAAATCAGACAGGAAACACGAGGCCTGAGCATTAAAAGTGAAGAGTAACTACGTACAGCCTCGCCGTCTGGATTCCAGGACGCTCTTTAAACCGGAGGACAGTGAGAGCCACAAGTTTTCAAAATAAAAAAACTGAAATAAGCAACCATACAAACATGACAACCAAAATATCCTGTTTGGACAAACTACATTTCCTGTTACCAGAAATCCCCCAACTCAAAAGGAACCATTAAAACAGTGTTTAAAAGATTAAGTCTACAATTTAGAGGCGGCTCTCTTCCAAATGTGGTCCAGACAGTGAAGGCCGCAAGGAGGAAGCCCACAAAAACACAGCAGCTGTAAAGAATAAAAAAACTAAAAGCTCTGGTTTAAAACATTGTCTTGGAGTGATGATACATTTTTTGCAGACGTGTATTCATAGGCAGAATTCTCCTGCATCAGGCTAAACGCAAAACTGTAGAACTTTGGGACCTTTGCTAGTTTTTGTTGCCACAGTTGAAGTAATTATGTGTGTTAGAAGATCTAGGATACTTATTATAATTAATAATACAATTATAACCATATTAGATTCATTTTTAGTTCTGACTGATTAATGTGTATCATATTTTGATCAGTTATAACTCCATTGTGGATATCTACACCATCATTTTATCTGTTGAGTTGAACAACATTAAATTCTGCTATTGCATTATAACCCGTGTCAATAACAAATCTTGTTAAGATTCAATTATTTCTGAATGTGTCAGCTTTATTTGCCATGTATGTGAACACATACTAGGAATTTGACTCTGGTGTAATTGGGCTCAGTGAACTTACAAAGATAGACATACAATTAACTACAGACTGCAAGAAACTAGCAAAATAAACACAATGTGC